TGGTGAATGTTTTGAGGGAGGTACCTACCTTTGTGAGTAGCAGTGAGGGAGGTACATACCTTTCTGAGTGTTGTGAGGTAGGTACCTACCTTAGTGAGTGTTAGTGAGGGAGGAACCTACTTAGTGAATGGTAGAGAGGAAGGCACCTACCTTAGTGAGTGGTAGTGAGGGAGGTACCTACCTTAATGAGTGGTAGTGAGGAAGGTACCTACCTTACTAAGTGGTAGTGAGGGAGGTACCTACCTTAGTGAGTGGTAGTGAGAGAGGTACCTACCTTAGTGAGTGGTAGTGAGGGAAGTACCTACCTTAGTGAGTGGTAGTGAGGGAAGTACCTACCTTAGTGAGTGGTAGTGAGGGAAGTACCTACCTTAGTGAGTGGTAGTGAGGGAAGTACCTACCTTAGTGAGTGGTAGTGAGGGAGGTACCTACCTTAGTGAGTTGTAGTGAGGGAGGTACCTACCTTAGTGAGTGGTAGTGAGGGAGGTACCTACCTTAGTGAGTGTGTGTGAGGAAGTACCTACCTTAGTGAGTGTGTAGTGAGGGAAGTACCTACCTTAGTGAGTGGGAAGTGAGGAGAGGTACCTACCTTAAAGAGTGGTAGTGAGGAAGGTACCTACCTTAGTGAGTGGTAGTGAGGGAGGTACCTACCTTAGTGAGTGGTAGTGAGGGAAGTACCTACCTTAGTGAGTGGCAGTGATTGAGGTACCTGCCTTACTGACTGGAAGTGAGGGAAGTATCTACCTCAGTGTGTGGTAGTGAGAGAGGTACCTACCTTAGTGAGTGGTAGTGAGGGAAGTACCTACCTTAGTAGTGGTATGATGGGAAGTACCTACCTTAGTGAGTGGTAGTGAGGGAGGTACCTACCTTAGTGAGTTGTAGTGCGGGAGGTACATAACATAGTGAGTGGTAGTGAGGGAGGTACCTACCTTAGTGAGTGTTAGTGAGGGAGGTACCTACCTTACTAAGTGGTAGTGAGGGAGGTACCTACCTTAGTGAGTGGTAGTGAGAGAGGTACCTACCTTAGTGAGTGGTAGTGAGGGAAGTACCTACCTTAGTGAGTGGTAGTGAGGGAAGTACCTACCTTAGTGAGTGGTAGTGAGGGAGGTACCTACCTTAGTGAGTTGTAGTGCGGGAGGTACATAACATAGTGAGTGGTAGTGAGGGAGGTACCTACCTTAGTGAGTGTTAGTGAGGGAGGTACCTACCTTACTAAGTGGTAGTGAGGGAGGTACCTACCTTAGTGACTGGTAGTGAGGGAGGTACCTTCCTTAGTGAGTGGTAGTGAAGAAGGTACCTACCTTAGTGACTGGTAGTGAGGGAGATACCTACCTTACTGAGTGGTAGTGAGGGAGGTACCTACCTAAGAGACTGGAAGTGAGGTAGGCACCTACCTTAGTGAGTGATAGTGAGGGAGGTACCTACATTAGTGAGCGGAAGTGAGGGAAGTACCTACCTTAGTGAGGGGTAGTGAGGGAGGTACCTACCTTGGTGAGTGTTGTGAGGGAGGTACCTTCCTTAGTGAGTGGTAGTGTGGGAGGTACTTACCTTTGTGAGTGTTGTGAGGGAGGTACCTACCTTAGTGAGTGTTAGTGAGGGAGGTACCTACCTTAGTGAGTTGTAGTGATGGAGGTACCTACCTTAGTGAGTGGTAGTGAGGGAAGTACAAACCTTAGTGAGTGGTAGTGAGGGAAGCACCTACCTTAGTGAGGGATCGTGAGGGAAGTACCTACCTTTGTGAGTGGTAGTGAGGGAGATACCTACCTTACTGAGTGGTAGTGAGGGAGCATTTACTTTAGTGAGTGATAGTGAGGGAGTTACTTATCTTAGTGAGTGGTAGCGAGGGAGGTACCTACCATAGTGAGTTTTAGTGAGGGAGGTTAATACCTCAATTAGTGGTAGTGAATGAGGCACCTACCTTAGTGAGTGTAAGTGAGGGAGGTACCTACCTTTGTGGTAGTGAGGGTGGCACCTACCGTAATGAGTGGTAGTGAGGGAAGTACCTACATTCGTGAGTGGTAGTGTGGGAGGTACCTATCTTAGTGAGTGGTAGTGAGGGAGCATTTACTTTAGTGAGTGATAGTGAGGGAGGTACCTACCTCAGTGAGTGGTAGTGAGGGAGCATTTACTTTAGTGAGTGATAGTGAGGGAGTTACTTATCTTAGTGAGTGGTAGTGAGGGAGCATTTACTTTAGTGAGTGATAGTGAGGGAGGTACCTACCTCAGTGAGTGGTAGTGAGGGAGGCACCTACCTTAGTGAGTGTTATTGAGGGAGGTACCTACCTTAGTGATAGTGAGGGAGGCACCTACCTTAGTGAGTGATAGTGAGGGAAGTACCTACCTTAGTGAGTGGTAGTGAGGGACGTACCTACCTTAGTGAGTGGTAGTGAGGGAGGTGCCTACCTCAGTGAGTGATAGTGAGGGAGGTACCTATCTTGGTGAGTGGTATTGAGGAAGGCACCTACCGTATTGAGTGATAGTGAGGGAGGTACTTACCTTAGTGAGTGGTAGTGAGGGAGGTACCTACCTTAGTGAGTGGTAGTGAGGGAGGTACCAATCTTAGTGAGTTGTAGTGAGGGAGGTACCTACCTTGGTGAGTGGTAGTGAGGGAGGTTCCTACCTTAGTGACTGGTAGTGAGGGAGATACCTACCTTAGTGACTGTAGTGAGGGAGGTACCTACCTTAGTGAGGTAGTGAGGGAGGGACCTACTTAGTGCTGTAGTGAGGGAGATACCTACCTTAGTGACTGGTAGTGAGGGAGATACCTACCTTAGTGACTGGTAGTGAGGGAGGTACCTACCTTAGTGACTGGTAGTGAGGGAGGTACCTACCTTAGTGACTGATAGTGAGGGAGGTACCTACCTTAGTGACTGGTAATGAGGGAGGTACCTACCTTAGTGACTGGTAGTGAGGGAGGTACTTACCTTAGTGACTGGTAGTGAGGGAGGTACCTACCTTAGTGAGTGGTAGTGAGGGAGGTACCTACCTTAGTGAGTTGTGTGAGGGAGGTACCTACCTTTTAGTGTGAGTATGTGAGGGAGGTACCTACTTAATGAGTGGTAGTGAGGGAGGTACCTACCTTAGTGAGTTGTAGTGAGGGAGGTACCTACCTTAGTGAGTGGTAGTGAGGGTGGTACCTACCTTAGTGAGTGGTAGTGAGGGTGGTACCTACCTTAGTGAGTGGTAGTGAGGGAAGTACCTACCTTAGTGAGTGGTTGTGAGGGAGTACCTACCTTAGTGAGTTTAGTGAGGGAGTACCTAACTTAGTGATGTTAGTGAGGAGGTACCTACCTTAGTGAGTTAGTGAGGAGGTACCTACCTTAGTGAGTGGTAGTGAGGGAGGTACCTACCTTAGTGAGTTGTTGTGAGGGAGTACCTACCTTAGTTTAGTGTAGTGAGGGTGGTACCTACCTTAGTGAGTGTAGTGTAGGGAAGTACCTACCTTAGTGAGTGGTTGTGAGGAAGTACCTACCTTAGTGAGTGGTAGTGAGGGAAGTACCTACCTTAGTGAGTGGTAGTGAGGGAAGTACCTACCTTAGTGAGTGGTAGTGAGGGAAGTACCTACCTTAGTGAGTGGTAGTGAGGGAAGTACCCCTCTGGCAAGACAGTGATGGACTGAATAATGAAGAAAGTTTTTCTTTTTCGGGCCACCCTGCCTTGGGTGGGCCTCCATGCCGTTGGGGGCCGTCCTAGGCCTTTGGGGGGCCACCCTGCCGTTGGGGGCCACCCTTGGGTTTGGGCCACACTGGTGTTTGGTGGGCCACCCTGCCTTGGTGGGGCCACCCTGCCTTGGAGGGCCACCCTGCCTTGGTGGGCCACCCTGCTTTGGTGGGCCACTCTGTCTTTGGTGGGCCAAACCCTACCTTGGTGGGCCACCTTTAACCTTGTGGGCCACCCTACCTTGGTGGGCCACCCTGCTTGGTGGGCCACCCTGCCCTTGGTTTTGCCACACTGTCTTGGTGGCCACCCTGCCTTGGTGGCCACCCTGTCTTGGTTGGGCCACCCTGCCTTGGTGGGCCACCCTGCCTTGGTGGGCCACCCTGCCTTGGTGGGCCACCCTGCCTTGGTGGGCCACCCTACCTTGGTGGGCCACCCTGCCTTGGTGGGCCACCCTACCTTGGTGGGCCACACTGTCTTGGTGGGCCACCCTGCCTTGGTGGGCCACCCTGCCTTGGTGGGCCACCCTGCTTTGGTGGGCCACCCTACCTTGGTGGTCCACCCTACCTTGGTGGGCCACCGTACCTTGGTGGGCCACCCTGCATTGGTTTGTCCACCCTGCCTATGGTGGGCCACCCTGCCTTGGTGGGCCACCCCTATTTTTGGGCCACCCTGCTTTGGTGGCCACCCTGCCTTGGTGGGCCACCCTGCCTTGGTGGGCCACCCTACCTTGGTGGGCCACCCTGCCTTGGTGGGCCACCCTACTTTTTTGGGCCACCCTGCTTTGGTGGGCCACCCTGCCTTGGTGGGCCACCCTGCCTTGGTGGGCCACCCTGCCTTGGTGGGCCACCCTGCCTTGGTGGGAGACTGCCGACGTGTTAATAAGTAATAATAAATAATAATAATAAAATAATAATAATAATAATAATAATAATAATAATAATAATAATAATAATAATAATTATTATTATTATATTATTATTATTATTATTATTATTATATTATTATTATTATTATTATTATTATTATTATTTCTTCACGTACACGATACATCTGTTACAGATACAGAATATATCGGGCAATTTCGGCTAATCTTGTTCCGCCAGGATGCGACACATGACAATTGTCTTGTCTAACACCCAGGTACCTATTTATTGCTAGGTGAACAGGGGCAGCAAGTTGGTAATGGTAGGTGTAGGTAGGCACCTACCTTACTGACTGGTAGTGAAGGAAGCATCTTACCTTAGTGAGTGGTAGTGAGGGAGGTACCTACCTTAGTGAGTGATACTGATTGAGGTACCTGCCATAGTGAGGGAGGCAACTACCATAGTGAGGGAGACACTTACCCCCACCATTGATGTAGATGGTAAGGAAGTCGTTGATGATAGTACAACCTCGCAGTAACTGGGCGTGACTGATACTCTTGACTGTTGTCGCTGAACAACGCTTGGTACACACCATACCTGTACCAGGGAAGGTAAACTCTGTCACTAGATGCTAAACACACCATACCTGTACCAGGGAAGGTGAAATCTGTCAGTAGGTGCTAAACACACCATACCTGTACCAGGGAAGGTAAACTCTGTCACTAGGTGCTAAACACACCATACCTGTACCAGGGAAGGTAAACTCTGTCACTAGGTGCTAAACACACCATACCTGTACCAGGGAAGGTAAACTCTGTCACTAGGTACTAAACACACATACCTGTACCAGGGAAGGTAAACTCTGTCACTAGGTGCTAACACACCATACCTGTACGGAGGAAACTCTGTCACTAGTGTTGAACACATACCTGTACCAGGAAGGTAAACTCTGTCACAGGTGCAAACACACCAACTGTACAAGGGAAGGTAAATCTGTCACTAGGGCTAAACACACCATATACCTGTACCAGGGAAGGTAAACTCTGTCCACTATGTACTAAAACACACAATACTGTACCAGGGGTAAACTCTGTCACAGTATCTAACACACCATCCCTGTACCGGAAGGTAAACTCTGTCACTAGGTATTAAACACACCATAACCTGTACAGGAAGGTAAACTCTGTCCACTAGTGACTAAACCACCATACCGTACCAGGGAAGGTAAACTCTGTCACTAGGTACTAAACACACTAGTACCTGTACCATGAAGGTAAACTGTCACTAGTACTAAACATCATCATACCTGTTCCAGAAGGTAAACTGTCACTAGGTACTAAACACACCATACCTGTACCAGGAAGGTAAACTCTGTTCACTAAGGTGCTAAACCACACCATACCTGTACCAGGGAAGTTAAACTCTGTCAATAGGTACTAAACACACCATCCTGTACAGGGATGTAAACTCGTCACTAGTACTAAACACACTATACCTGTACCAGGGAAATAAACTCTGTCCTAGTATTAAACTACCACATTTAATGTGGAACTTTCTGCATGCAGATTTCTTCGGTCCAATATAAGGAGAACGTGAAATGAGGAGTTATCTAGGTAATCAGTCCTCAACCTAAGTCGATGGATCTGACGAAGTCACTTGCTGGTAAAAAGTTCCACAACAGATATCGGAATTTACACAGTATCTTTCCAACTGTCGATTTTCCTGAAGTTTTTCATCCTGTAACAAGAAAAATTTTTTCCTCTTCGAAGCTTATATAATTGTTTACAATCATGATTAGTGATTACTGTGAGTTGTACTTCTTTCACAACTCTCTCTTAATTATCATTCACTTGTTGTTATCTTCTGTCAAAAAACATTTGAAGACATTATGTTCTGCTTCACTAGATTTCCCTACATTAATTCTCTATACTTACAAGCCGAACAAGAGAATTACAAATTCTATGTCTCGTCTCTAACTTTCATGTATATGAAATATATCTTTTTTCTCCTATATCTCTGTCTTTTTCTTTTACGTCTTGATAATGTACTCAAAAGATATCTTGTAAATCGTAAAAATGTCTAATTCTGGACATCTGCTACATCGCATAAAATCTACCCCGGGAATCTTAGACGTTGTTCAGTATCTGTCCTGTGCAGTTTTGTCCCCAGACACCAAATTGTTAATTTTATGGAACAATATAATCTGCATAACTTAAATCATGATGGATATAGAGCTGGGAGACTATGCTTGTCACAACTACTAGGGCACTGTGATAATTACTGAGGCATTGGAAGAAAACCAAAGTGCAGTTGTGTATACACGGATTTTACAAAGGTGTTTGATAAATGCGATAATGGAGAATTTGAAACTAAATGTGGTCTATATGCATAACGAGAAATTAAAGAGAGGAATTTTCAATTATCCCATACAAAGAATAAAAAGAGAAGCAGTAAACAGAGCAAAATCTAGTCTTAGCGAAGTAAAAAGTTGGGTACCCAAGGTGCTGTTTTGGCTCCTCTACTGTTCCACATCCTCATAAGAACGAAAGTTACCTCAGTAGAAGACACAGGGAAAATTGCAGGAAGATAAAAGAGTTCTCCAATGGGCAGCGGAAAACCACAGGACGTTCACTAGTAATAGGTTCCAGTGTTTATATGTGGAATGAAACGAAAGAGACACAAAAGAGCCTAGTCACAAATTGGCACACTTACAACATACTGGAGAGAGAAATATGGGAAGAAGTGTAAAATAAATCAACTGGAAAGTAGGGGCGCCTTGGGTACAATAAGAGAACATTTTATCAACATCCATGGTCCCAGACTATTTAACATATCAGAAGATATCAGAAATACTGCTGGGACATGTGTAGAAGTCGAAAAGATGAAACCGGACAAGCATCATCAAGTGCCAGATCAACCAAACGATGAAGGATATTTGAGCCAGCTGGACTAATAACCTGGTTGACCAGGCAAGAACCAGGATCAAAAAGCAGCTAGGGTGGAGAGAACACAGGTAGAAATATAATGGGCTGTGGGGAGTGCTAAAGGAAGTATTATCAAAGAATCCTAAACTTGGTTTGATAAAATGTAATTTGTTAAGAGATACATGGGAGCAAGGTTGCTGCCAGCGGTCGCCGAGGTCGCTACAGGTTGCAGCAAAATAGTCTGAGAATTGAATAAATAAAGGGGATGTAAACAGCGTGCTGAAAATTTCCAGCAAGACAGGACTCGCAGCAGTGGTTTCAAGTTGGAAAAATTCAGATTCACGAAGGATATAGGAAAGTACTGGTTTGGTAATAGAGTTGTGGATGAGCGGAACAAACTCCCGAGTACAGTTATTCAGGCTAAAACGTTGTGTAGTTTTAAAAATAGGTTAGATAAATACATGAGTGGGTGTGGGTGGGTGTGAGTTGACCTGACTAGCTTTGCTGCTGGGTCTGGTACAGTACTCCATCCTTGAGTGGAGATGACCAGACTGGGTGGGTCATTGGGATAATCCGGGGGTGGGTCATTGGTCTAACCCAGGGGGGAAACATGGACCTGCTCCGCTTGGGTCATTAGGCCTGTTGTAGTGTTCCTTCTTTCTTACGTTCTTATGTTCTAATACCTCTATATAAAAGTGGGAGGTCATAGACTGGTAACCGCGCAGCAGAGTCTTCCTGCTCGTTGCCCTGAACATCAACATGACCAGGGATCCAACACAAAACGATATCTTTGTTCTTGCCAAAAATACGGCTTAACCAAAGTTGTATACGATCAACTGGGAGATGAGGCTAATCAATTTTATTTTTTCAGTATCTTGCAAAGCACTAAAGGAGATTATTTCCCAGTAAAAATAGGCCTTAGACAGGAACAAAAGATGTCACTATGATTATTTAATACATTTATAGATGGCACTGTGCTTTTCGGAGATTCTGAAGAGGAGTTGTAGATGATGGTGGGCGAATTTGGGAGGGTGTGTAAAAGAAGGAAATTGAAAGTGAACACAGGAAAGAGCAAGGTGATGAGAATAACAAGAATATTAGGTAAAGAAAGATTGGATATAGATTGGAGGGAGTATGGAGGACCTGAATGTAGCACTGACTCTCGTCAGTGCTACAACAGCTGTTGTTCTGCAGGCATGCTCCGTGAGTGAATGTGGCTATGCCAAATTCTCCCTTTCAGTTCATGATGGCTGCTGAAATTCATGATGGATGTTTCACCTAGAAAACATGCTGATTTGAGTATCAAACAAATCACCGAAAATTTTAGCCTAGCAAAGTCAACTGTTGATTGGATTCTAAAGAGAACTGACGACACTGGCGATTTTGGAGCGCTGCGTCCAGGACGATGGGCAAGATAATGCTTGACAACACCGTGTATTGATGTTGGAAGAACTGAAGTTGGCAAAACTGCCAAAAATGTCGGTGAAGAAGCAATTACTGGCTGCTGCTGTGAAGAAAACACGGCTACGATGGGCACTTTATCACAAAGGATGGACGACATGTGAACAGAGAAAAGTTATGTTTTCAAGAACCAAAATACCCACCAAAGAAGGCGTTTTGTGGAAGTTTTACTGCCCTGGGCAGCATGGGAACGTAAACAGTGACACATACAAGACAATCCTGGCAACTCATTTGCTTTCCACTGTGGACAGAGACTTTCCTGATGGAGAAGGAATTTTCCAGCAGGATCTTGCTCGATTTCGCACTTTAATAAAAATAGTGACATCCTTCAAAAAACTTGGGCAAAGAGTTCTAAACTGGCCTCAACCTAATTCAGAATCTTACAGGATCACGAAACATGACTGTTCAGCTTTGGAGAAGCTAATTGCTGCTGCTATTAGGGATTGTTACTACGAAGAACGTGCCAAAATGCGTTCAGCATTGGTCAGTTCTATGATAAAGCGTGTAGCAATGGTTATAGAAGCAAAGAGTAGTTATATCTCTTATTAAATAATTTATAATGTCATATCATTGCCGTGTACCCTTCAGAAAAAACATTAATTTTCCTAATAATTATTTCATAACTGTAGTAATTAATTTACATACTACTGTAAATATTAAGGCCGCTCAGAGAGGTAAAGTGAAAATTATTTATCGTGGTTGAAAGGGAATAAGAATTTCACACTATTTAACACTTAAAATAGTTTGATCTACATATAAACTATACCACAGGAGGGGATAGAACCCGCGGTCAGAGAGTCTCATAACTCCAGACCGTCGTGTTAGCCACTGGACCAGGTAACCACAATAAGATTCATCCGACTAGATATATTTTCACACCATAGGAAGGGTACCATAGGCACCACTGTGACCACAAATGCAAGTTTTTACAGACGATTCTCCAGCTAGCGTGGCCGTGACGAACTCTAGCTCAAGTCCCCTCAAAGCCGTCGCTAACGCGACCTGTCTGAAGTTTTGAGACTCTCTGATCGCGGGTTCAAACCCCGCCCGTGGTATGGTTGGTTTGCAATCGTGTCATTACGATTTCGTGAGTCATCAGCATATAATTCTCCGCCGTCGTCGTATTTTATGAGTGCTCGTAGCTACGACATTGAGGGTTTCACAAGTTGTAGCCATTTCAGGATGTTGGAAATGGCTTCAACTTCTTTAGAGCAAAATTTTGGACCTCGTTACCACGCAGAAGTGTTGAAAATTTGAAGCCGATTGAGTTAAAGGTTCTCGAGCTATGAGTGAAATATTAACGAAAAAAATGGTTGAAAAGAAAATTTAGGGAGCCTAGTAAAGGTTCCCCGTCGATTATAGTTAATAATTTTCTTACAATGATTTTTTTACACAGGGTTTGACAAGGTTATGGATCCCTAGCTTTATTGACAAGCTATTTACAGGTTAAGGATTCCTAACTTTATTGGCAAGCTAAGAGCTGTTACCTACATCAGCTCATTTGAAAGCATTTTTATTGTTATGAAACATACAAGTAGGGAACAGGATGAAGTTGGAGCCATCTGTGGGCCAGCATTTTCATTTGATCAACTGACTTTATCTCGTTGACATCATTATGCTGTACGAATGTGTTCCATACTCGAGTCATCCTGGGTATGTATGATCTCAGATGGAGTGATGTTCTGGAGAAGGGTACAGCCAGAGTGAAGTTGCTGCTTTCTGCCCGTCTTGTGGCATAAAAACTAGTTTCACGCTGTCCTCGAAGTGGATCCAAGTGTGGTACTTTGACAATATTGGCCTTGTACATAACAGTAAGGCCACCCACATCCCTCCTGTGTTGAAGGCTCTGCTGAAATGACAGATCTATCCAGGATGGGTTAAGGCGAGAGATGAGACGTCTTGCTCTGTTCTCTACTCTGTCAAGCAGTCGCAGATGAGAGGGAGGGGGGGGGCAGGCAAACCAAGAAAGTGGAGCATACTCAAGATGTGAGCGTACTTGTGCCTCGCACAGAATCTTGCAACCCCTACTGTCAAGCAGATGCGAGATACGGCGAAGTGCTGTAAGCTTCCTGGCTGCCTTGTTTGCAACATTTACATGATTCTTCATGGTTAGTTTGGAGTCAAATTTCACCCCAAGGATATCAACTTCTTCTCCAGGTGCCAACACCCTCCCATTCATCCTTGCTACTGCACCAGCATTACCATCATGGTGCCTAGAGACCATCATCATTTGCGTTTTCTCAGGTGCAAATGTTACTTGCCATCTATTTCTCCAAGCTGATATAGCTCGTAGCTGGTGATTGATGTAGCTTAGAGCAGCTGGCATTTCTTCTCTTGGATAAGTGAATGTCAGTGTACAGTCGTCTGCATATGCATGGGTTTCTGGGATGAGATGAAGAACGTCGTTGAAGTAGACATTCCATAACAATGGTCCCAGCACGCTTCCTCGTGGAACACTTGCCCCAATAGGATGTCTTGCTGATTCCGTTCCATTGAGAACTACACTTCGAGATCTACCATGAAGGTAATCACTGAGGAGACATAGCGTAGAGCCTGCAATTCCCAGTGCTTGAAGTTTTGCTAAGAGACCCTGGTGCCACACCCGGTCGAAAGCACCAGCAATGTCCAGTGCTACCACACAGCTGACTTTGGATTCATCCAGTGACTGGTGCCACTTAGTGGAGAGGTTTAGCAACAGATCAGCAGCAGAGTAACCTTTCCTGAAGCCATATTGACGATCACAAAGTAGTGAGTGGTAGTCAAAAAACTCTGTCATTTGTCTTGAGATTATTGTCTCAAGGATCTTACCAGTGATTGACAGGAGTGACACTGGTCTGTAGTTACTGATTTCTTCTCTGCTCTTCTTTTTGTGAACAGGGGCTACATTTGCCTCTTTCCACAGAGAGGGCCATTTATCCTGTACTAGGCAGTGCTGAAAGATGCGAGTTAGAGGTGCTGCTAGCTGGTCTGCACCTCTTCTCAGCAATCTTGGGCTCAACTTGTCTGGGCCCACAGCCTTTTCATGGTCAAGCGATTTAAGAAGGAAATGCACCTCCTCCTGCCTTATTGTCACCATTGACAGTTCTGACACAGTTCTTGCAGCTGGCCAAGGAGGGTCCCTTGCTGGATCAGGAGCTTGCATTTTGGTAGCAAAGTGTTTGGCAAAGAGGTCCGCCTTCTCTTGACTACTAGTAGAGGTGGTCCCATCCTGTCGATTGAGAGGTGGAATGAGTTCATCAGGCAGATAACCTTGTCTGTCCTTGACCAGGGACCACCAGGTTTTGGAGCCTACCCTACCTGATGCTAGCTTTCTTTTTTGTGTCCACCTCCCATTTAGCAATGGCCCACTTTTGAACGTCACCTATATGCCTACAGGCTTGCCTGTGCAAGTTCCTGTTATAGGTGGTAGGATGTCTCTTATACCTTCGCCATGCTTTGTACTTAGCAGTAGCAGCCTCTCTACAACGAAAGCCAAACCAAGGCTGATCTGTAGGCTTCGTCACATATTGCCGGTGGGGAATGTGTTCTTGTTGTAGATTAAAGATGTGTCCAGTGAAGGCTTTCACTTGGTTGTCAACATCCCCTTGGAGAAGATCATTCCAATCGGTGGTGGCGAGCTCAGAGCAAAGGACTGGCCAATTACCTCTTTCCCATAGCCAGGTTGTGCGTGTGGACTCCTCACCTCGCTTCTTAGTTAATTACTATCACTGAAAGTAATTGCGTTTAAGCTCATAGTTTCAATCTGAAGTGACTTCTCTTGTACAGAATATGTAACTGAGTTCAACAGACCTAGAAGACGAAGAGGACTAATTTCAGTCAGTACAAATATGGAGTAACATTGATGTAGGTGGGAAGGTAATTTAGAACTGCAGTTCTCGGTATGAGACTTTAAGGGGAAACATTGATGTACATGAGAAGACAGTTGACAATGCAATGTCTCAGCATAAATATATAAAAAGAAAAATCGTAGTAGTAGTTGTTGTAAAAGGATGTAAAAATTATTACTTGGGAGGCATAAAAATAAGTTAGACAAATATTTCTATTGGAGGTTGAATAAGAGAAGGTCTGTTTCAGTGTTCATTCTCTGTTATGTGTTTGTGTAGTATTAACAGGAGAGACTGTGTGATGGCAGGTTTACTGTTTCCAGGAGGATTCTTGCTAAGACTTCAGAAATGGTGAAGCTGCCTTTGTTTTGTTTAATTGTATTAGAAACAGCGATTAGTGATGATTCAAGGCACCTGCGTCTGTGGAAATTAGTTTCTTTAATCATTAATGGGCGTCCCTGAATTTCTAAGCCTACATATACCTTCTGTGTCCATGTACTGTTTGTAACGTCTTGACAAAGCTCCTGCAGAGCGAAACGTTGCCACAATAAAATGCCACATTAGTTGCACTTGTGTCATTTTACTTTACAATATATGGAATAACATTAATATATTAAAGTGGAGAGAAGCTTACCTTTACATGGGTCGCACTGAGTGATGTAACGGGAGCCATCAAAGACGGTGGTTGTATTGTAACCTGTAGGACAACGTTCCACACATTCCTGTGTGTCCCTCTTAATGGCGTAGTTCACTGAACACACCTCACGAGGCTCACATCTGTGCTCAGACACCTGCAAGGATTAGTGAAGAGAAATAGGTAATAATTTACGATTTCTAATGCTTGGTAGCAGATCACGTGATAAGAACTTTAGTTTCTCAAAGCCTTAAATATCTCAAAACATTTGTTATTGCCACAGTTACAGTGTCCCGTGGCCTGGTGGCGGAAGCTCTCTCTTCACACCGTGAGGGTCCGGGTTTGATTTCCGAAGAAGGGTTGTAAGCATTCGACGTGTTTCCTTACACTGGTTGTCTATGTTCACCCATCAGCATAATGGGTACCTGGGTGTTAGTGGACTGGTGTGGGACGCATCCTGGGACAAAACTGACCTAATTTGCGGGAAATGCTCAGCATAACAGATCAGGTCAGCAAACAAAGGGGACAGCAGAGGGCAGCAAGGGACTAGCTCCCTTAAGGTTTACTATACTAATAGCAGGAGTGTAAGAAATAAGATAGATGAGCTAAGATTAATTGCAAGTGCAGGAAACATAAATATTATTGCTATAACAGAGACCTGGCTCAATCTGAAAGATAGAGAGATGCCCTCTGAATGTCACATACAAGGCTATAAATTATTCCACACTGACAGGGTCAACAGGAAAGGTGGTGGAGTAGCAATGTATGTCAGAGACAATTTAAATTGTTGTGTTAGACAAGATATAAAATTAGAAGCGTCAGCCACTGAATCTGTTTGGTTACAGCTTCTCGAGGGCCGAGAAAAACTAATTTTGGGTGTGATTTACAGGGCCCCAAATCTTGATAGGGAGAGCAGTAAACTTCTATGGGACGAAATTCGTAAGGCATCTACTAACGAAAATGTTGTGCTAATGGGAGATTTCAACTATAGACAGATTGACTGGAGCAATTTGACAGGAAATTTAGAGTCAGGTGACTTTCTTGATACGATCCAGGATTGTTTTTTAAAACAGTTTGTGACAGAGCCAACTAGGGGAAATAACCTCCTTGGACATTAAAATGGTATAAAATACCGACAGGTTGTTAGGTAAGACACATATGCAACAGTTAGGTATCTTTATTATGAAACGTTTCGCCTACACAGTAGGCTTCTTCAGTCAAGTACAGAAAAGTTGATAGAAGCAGAAGATACTTGAAGACGATGTAATCAGTCCATCACCCTTAAAGTTTTGAGGTGGTCAGTCCCTCAGTCTGGAGAAGAGCATTGTTCCATAGTATGAAACATATTGTTTCATACTATGGAACAATGCTCTTCTCCAGACTGAGGGACTGACCACCTCAAAACTTTAAGGGTGATGGACTGATTACATCGTCTTCAAGTATCTTCTGCTTCTATCAACTTTTCTGTACTTGACTGAAGAAGCCTACTGTGTAGGCGAAACGTTTCATAATAAAGATACCTAACTGTTGCATATGTGTCTTACCTAATAACCTCCTTGACTTGGTTCTTGCCAGTAGGGAAACACTAATTAATAATCTTGAGGTTAATGATGAGCTTGGGGAAAGTGATCACAAATCACTCAGTTTTAATATATCATGGAATTCCCCTAATAATGGCAATCAAGTCTCTGTCCCTGACTTCCGCTTGGCTGATTTCATAGGACTGAAAAATTACTTAGGTGGGCTGAACTGGAATGACCTGACTAAGGGTCAGGTAGGTGGTGATGGATGCTGATATGACACTTTCCAGGGCATAGTTTCTGGCTGCTCAGTCAAATTATGTTCCAAATAGGGAAATCAGATCAAACAAAAATGATCCTAAATGGATGAACAATAGATTAAAATATCTAATTGGTCAAAAGAGAGGCATATATAGGCAAATCAAAAGAGGAGAGGAACAATTAGGAAATCGATATATTCAGTTAAAGAGAGAAATAAAAAAAGGAATTAGAAAAGCAAAAAGAGATTATGAGGTTAAAGTTGCAAGAGATTCGAAGACTAACCCAAAAGGATTCTTTCAGGTATACAGAAGTAAGATCAGGGACAAGATAGGCCCACTCAAAAGTTCCTCGGGTCAGCTCACTGACAGTGATAAGGAAATGTGTAGAAGTTTTAACACATATTTCCTCTCAGTTTTTACACAGGAGGATACCAGCGATATTCCAGAAATGATAAATTATGTGGAACAGGACGATAATAAACTGTGCACGATTAGGGTCACAAGTGACATGGTCCTTAGGCAAATAGATAAATTAAAACCTAACAAATCCCCAGGCCCTGATGAGCTGTATGCAAGGGTTCTAAAGGAATGTAAAGAGGAGCTTAGCAAACCTTTGGCTAATCTTTTCAACATATCACTACAAACTGGCATGGTGCCAGATAAGTGGAAAATGGCAAATGTGATACCTATTTTCAAAGCAGGTGACAGGTCCTTAGCTTCGAACTATAGACCAATAAGCCTAACCTCCATAGTGGGAAAATTTATGGGATCAATAATTGCCGAGGCAGTTCGTAGCCACCTTGAAAAGCATAAATTAATCAACGAATCTCAGCATGGTTTTACAAAGGGGCGTTCCTGCCTTACGAATTTGTTAACTTTTTTCACTAAGGTATTTGAGGAGGTAGATCATGGTAATGAATATGATATTGTATACATGGACTTCAGTAAGGCTTTTGACAGGGTCCCACATCAGAGACTATTGAGGAAAATTAAGGCACATGGAATAGGAGGAGAAATTTTTTCCTGGATGGAGGCATGGTTGACAAATAGGCAGCAGAGAGTTTGCATAAATGGGGAGAAATCAGAGTGGGGAAGCGTCACGAGCGGTGTTCCACAGGGGTCAGTGTTAGGCCCCCTGCTGTTCACAATATACATAAACGACATAGATGAGGGCATAAAGAGCGACATCAGCAAGTTTGCCGATGACACCAAAATAGGCCGTCGAATTCATTCTGACGAGGACATTAGAGCACTCCAGGAAGATTTGAGTAGACTGATGCAGTGGTCGGAGAGGTGGCAGATGCAGTTTAATATAGACAAATGCAAAGTTCTAAATGTTGGACAGGACAATAACCATGCCACATATAAACTAAATAATGTAGATCTTAATATTACGGATTGCGAAAAAGATTTAGGAGTTCTGGTTAGCAGTAATCTGAAACCAAGACAACAGTGCATAAGTGTTCGCAATAAAGCTAATAGAATTCTTGGCTTTATATCAAGAAGCATAAACAATAGGAGTCCTCAGGTTGTTCTTCAACTCTATACATCCTTGGTTAGGCCTCATTTAGACTATGCTGCACAGTTTTGGTCACCGTATTACAGAATGGATATAAATGCTCTGGAAAATGTACAAAGGAGGATGACAAAGTTGATCCCATGTATCAGAAACCTTCCCTATGAGGATAGACTAAGGGCCCTGAATCTTCACTCTCTAGAAAGACGTAGAATTAGGGGGGATATGATTGAGGTATATAAATGGAAGACAGGAATAAATAAAGGGGATGTAAATAGTGTGCTGAAAATATCTAGCCTAGACAGGACTCGCAGCAATGGTTTTAAGTTAGAAAAATTCAGATTCAGGAAGGATATAGGAAAGTACTGGTTTGGTAATAGAGTTGTGGATGAGTGGAACAAACTCCCAAGTACAGTTATAGAGGCCAGAACGTTGTGTACCTTTAAAAATAGGTTGGATAAATACATGAGTGGGTGTGGGTGGGTGTGAGTTGGACCTGATTAGCTTGTGCTACCAGGTCGGTTGCCGTGTTCCTCCCTTAAGTCAATGTGACCTGACCTGACTAGGTTGGGTGCATTGGCTTAAGCCGGTAGGAGACTTGGACCTGCCTCGCATGGGCCAGTAGGCCTGTTGCAGTGTTCCTTCGTTCTTATGTTCTTATGTTCTTATAACAAGCGACTTTCTATATAGTAGTATATCATTGATGTCAGCTATGGTCTGTATACCTTGTACATGTACTTGTATACCTTGTACATGTACTGGTATACCTTGTACATGTACTGGTATACCTTGTACATTCACTGGTATACCTTGTACATGTACTGGTATACCTTGTACATGTACTGGTATACCTTGTACATGTACTGGTAGTAAATAAAGATATATTATTATTATAACAAGAACATAAATTTATCTACCGTTCGCCAGGTTTCAAAATTTTATAGTCTACGTTAACCCTTTGTTTATATTCGTATCAACCTTAAATAACACACAGACTAAGTTAAGCCAAATTACGCATATCTTACCTTCAATAGTCACCACAAAGTAATTAAAAACACAATATACAACCGGGGAAACTATGGTAAGTTAGAGACACTATGTGTAAACAGACATTTTGCAATTTATGAAACTTTGGGTGACTGCAGAAACATCACAAATATTTTGGTAAATTAGACACATGTGCAACTCTTGGGTATCTTTATTGAGGAAACGTTTCGCCACACAGTGGCTTCATCAGTCCATACGTAGGAGAAACTTGAAGAATAGGAGGAGAATGAGGTTTATAAGCAGCTTCTCCGCTGATATGCCGTATTCTATTCAAGATTGATGGACTGAACACATCGACTCAAGGTTGAGGGACTGATTACCTCATTCTCCTCCTGTTCTTCAAGTTTCTCCTACGTATGGACTGATGAAGCCACTGTGTGGCGAAACGTTTCCTCAATAAAGATACCCAAGAGTTGCACATGTGTCTAATTTATCAACATGTCGGTTCTCTGAACCATTCATCTACAAATATTTTGGTCTACGTCAGTTTCGCCTTTACGTCACTTAAAAATTCTAGAGTAAATTATAGTTCGGCGAACGTCTTTACGTCCGACTTTACGTCACTCAGCAACGTCACCTACGTCATATATATTTTTTGGTGTTCATTATTCTTTAAAAAATATGACTAAAATGTATTTTTAATGTTCTTTGAGATTTAGCAATAATTATAATCTTTTGCGAGTTATTTACGGAAGTTTTACGGTGTCTGGTGTCATTTTAAGGCATTATGTCCGATTTACGTCAAAAACCGGGATACGTCACGGCTTTTGGAACCAATTAATGACGCATGGCGAGGTATAACTGTTATCACGTTGATAACTGTTTATGAATTAACTAGGAAAATCATCACAACACTGATTCACGCAATATAATCATCAGACAAAAGCCACTGAGTACAAGTATACTTGTTAGACTCAGGATGAATATACTTCTGTTATATACAATACAACTACGTGCTTTTCAAACAAATTAAACAAGCTGAACCAGTTTACAATGAAAACAAGGCTTGGAGATGATGCTTGGAGACCACGTGCTTCCCTTCATCCTACAGCTTGGAGACCACGTGCTTCCCTTCATCCTACAGCCTGGAGACCACGTGCTTCCCTTCATCCTACAGCTTGGAGACCACATGCTTCCCTTCATCCTACAGCTTGGAGACCACATGCTTTCCTTCATCCTACAGCTTGGAGACCACGTGCTTCCCTTCATCCTACAGCTTGGAGACCACATGCTTCCCTTCATCCTACAGCTTGGAGACCACGTGCTTCCCTTCATCCTACAGCTTGGAGACCACGTGCTTCCCTTCATCCTACAGCTTGGAGACCACATGCTTCCCTTCATCTTACAGCTTGGAGACCACATGCTTCCCTTCATCTTACAGCTTGGAGACCACATGCTTCCCTTCATCCTACAGCCTGGAGACCACATGCTTCCCTTCATCTTACAGCTTGGAGACCACATGCTTCCCTTCATCCTACAGCTTGGAGACCACGTGCTTCCCTTCATCCTACAGCTTGGAGACCACATGCTTCCCTTCATCCTACAGCTTGGAGACCACATGCTTCCCTTCATCCTACAGCTTGGAGACCACATGCTTCCCTTCATCCTACAGCTTGGAGACCAGGTGCTTCCCTTCATCCTACAGCTTGGAGACCACATGCTTCCCTTCATCCTACAGCTTGGAGACCACATGCTTCCCTTCATCCTACAACTTGGAGACCACATGCTTCCCTTCATCCTACAGCTTGGAGACCACATGCTTCCCTTCATCCTACAGCTTGGAGACCACATGCTTCCCTTCATCCTACAGCTTGGAGACCACATGCTTCCCTTCATCCTACAGCTTGGAGATCACATGCTTCCCTTCATCCTACAGCTTGGAGACCACATGCTTCCCTTTATCCTACAACTTCATATGACATGTATTCTGTCATGTCACCTCACATACGACTACTACATTATGTAATAAAATATACCTATGAAGGAAGTGAATGTATTCGGATATTTGGGAGTGGACGTGTCAGCAGATTGGTCTATGAAAATTGAGTTGAATCATATAATTGACGAGAGGGAAGAAGGTGAGTGGTGCACTGAGGAGTCTGTGGAGACAAAGAACTTTATCCATGAAAGCAAAGAGGGTAATTTATGAGAGTATAGTTATACCAACACTCTTGTATGGGTGTGAAGCATGGGTGATGAATGTTGCAACAAGGAGAAGGCTGGAGGCAGTGGAGATGTCATGTCTGAGGGTAATGTTTAGTGTGAATAAAATGCAGAGAATCTGTAATTTGGAGATTAGGAGGAGGTGCAGGATTACCAAAACTATTATCCAGAGGACTGAGGAAGGGTTATGGAGATGGTTTGGACATGTAGAGAGGAAGGAGTGAAATATAATGACTTCGAGAGTGTATAAATCTGCAATAATAGCTTCGTCTGGTAGGAGATATTAAACTAAAAATATTATTGCAACAAACAAACGTGGTTTTTGTTTTGTAAAAGAATAATCATTATTACTAAGTTAGAAATTAACCCCACCTGTGGTATGGTTTGTTTGCAATCGTATCATTACGATTTCGTGAGTCAAGTTAGAAATTACTGGAACGTAACTTCAGATACTAAAAAAAATTAAGCGTTCCTTATCATTTTTAAAGAAATTCTTCCAACTTAGTATCCAGGTTTAACGTTAAGTTTAAAATACATAAGATGCAGATGTCAGGGACACTTTCCTACACAACTTTAAACCTCGATAAGCATGAGCCTAAAACCATTTAGGAAATTACAAGACGTGAGACAGGCTTAATAAATTTGACATTTGAGAGACTAACCTTGAACTTGGGGCTGGTGCAGGAGGGAACACATGTGTCGTGGTCGAGGACGTTCCTGCAGGCGTGGCAGGAGGTGGCATTGTTAGGAGTGAGGCAGCCACCCACACACTCTTCATGACAACACTCTCCCTTCACGCATCCTCCTGGACACTCCCCACACACTGTAACACAAACACAATGCAACACAACTGTAACACTAACATACTGTACCATATATTAACTCAATCACACACTGTTGTAAAGGTTTGCAAGAAGATTAGTCCTGGAGTTAAGGGGCATGTCCTACGAGGAGAGGTTAAGGGAAATTGACTTGACGACACTGGAGGACAGGAGAGACAGGGACGATTTGATAACGATATTTAAAATACTGCGAGGAATTTGTCAAGGTGGACAGAGACAGGATGTTCCAGAGATGGGACACAGCAACAAGGGGTCACAGTTGGAAGTTGAAGACTCAGATGAATCACAGGGATGTTAGGAAATATTTCTTCTGTCACAGAGTTGTCAGGAAGTGGAATAGTCTGGTGAGTGATGTACTGGAGACAGGATCCATTCATAGCTTTAAGAAGAGGAATGATATAGCTCATTGAGCAGAAAGAGTGACTTAATAACGGCCAGTGAAGAGACGGTGCCAGGTGCTGTGACTCGACCCCTGCAACCACACGTAGGTGAGTACTGTAACCACACAACGATCCCCAGTACTTCACTGCTCGCTCAAACATCAGTCAATAATTGAAGCGAATCAGATTTCGTATTCACAAGTTATCACATAGACAATGTTATCCTATTTTTGTAACATCAGTGTTAAATTCGGACATATAGAGCAATAAACTAATTCAGACTAAGAAACACTGGCGGTAAAACCAACCAAAGAAGAAATTCTTGGTATCTGGGAGGGATCGAGATTCTAAACCAACACAGTAAATTCAGGCAACGACTTGAAGGTCCTCGTTCAGGAATACCTAAGTAAGATACCTGCGCCTTCTTCGTCTAGCTGGGTTTTTTTATACCATCAATTATCAACACTTCAGGATTCCCACTTCATTGTTACAATCCTCGTGAACTACTGAATGGAAGTCGTGACTTAAATGTTCAAGTTGTTTTATACTTCTTCACAAACCACAAAGAATAAAAAATAAGTCACAATACCTGGCTGGAACTATTCACAAATAAACCCAGACTCAGGAGACGAGACTTAGGACGACGTTTTGGGCCGTCAAATCATGAATCAACTTTTTCACAGAGATTTTACCCAGAGTTGCCTATTTTCTGGGGTGTACATCATCCTATACCACGGGTGGGGTTAGAACCCGAAATGTGTGAAAATTTCACACATTTCCTTATCACTGTCAGTGATCTGACTTGAGTTACTCGTAAGTGGGCCAATCTTGTCCTTAATCTTACTTCTGTATACCTGAAAGAACCCTTTTGGGTTAGTCTTCGAATCCCTTGAGACTTTAGCCTCATAATCCCTTTTTGCTTTTCTTATTCCTTTTTTTTTATTTCTCTCTTTAACTGAATATATTGATTTCTTAACTGTCCATCCCTTCTTTTGATACGCCTATATATGCCTCTCTTTTGACCAATGATATGTTTTAATCTATTGCTTATCCATTTGGGATTATTTTTGTTAGATCTAATTTCCCTACTCGGAACAAAAGTTGTCTGGGCAGCTAGAACTATGCTCTGAAAAACGTCATATTGGCAACCAAGATCACCTACCTGACCCATAGTCAGGACATCCCAATTTAGCCCACCCAGGTAATTTTTCAGTCCCATGAAGTCGGCCAAGCGAAAATCTGGGACAGAGATTTGATTGCAGTTATCTGGGTAATTCCATGATATATTGAAACTAAGTGATTTGTGATCACTTTCCCCAAGCTCATCATTAACCTCAAGATTATTAATTAGTGAATCTTTGTTGGTAAGAACCAAGTCAAGTAGATTGTTTCCTCTAGTTGGTTCTGTCACAACCTGTTCTGAAAAGCAATCCTGAACCATATCAAGAAAGTCACTAAACTCAAGATTTCCTGTCATATTGTTCCAATCAATTTGTCTAAAGTTAAAATCTTCCATTATCACAACATTTTCATATCTAGATGCCTTATGAATTTCGTCCCATAACAGCTTACTGCACTCCCTATCAAGGTTTGGGGGGCTATATATCACACCTAAAATTAATTTTTCATGATCGAGAAACTGTAGCCAAACATATTCTGTGTCCGATGTTTCTAATCTTACATCTTGTCTAACACAACAGTTTAAATTATCTCTGACGTACATCGCCACTCCACCACCCTTCCTGTTGAGCCTATCAATGTGGAATAGTTTATAACCCTTTATGGTGAATTCAGAAGGCATTTCTCTATCTTTCAGGTTGAACCAGGTCTCTGTTATACCAATAATATCTATATTACTTGCACTTGCTAGTAATCTTAGCTCATCTATCTTATTTCTTAGACTCCTACTATTTGTATAGTAAACCTTATGGGAGCTAGTCACTCGTTGAACTCTGCTATCTCTCTTTGTTGATCAGTTGCTTTGCCATTATTAGGAACTTTATTCTGAATATTGTCTTTTAAACATATCCCTGAGGTATCGCGGTAATAACTGCTGTTTTTAGCCCTAATGCTGCAGCCTGATTGTTTCCCACAAACACTCATACCTCTATAATCTATCAGTTTAAAGTCTTAGACAAGTCATCAATTACCCTCTCAATCGAATTGGCTAATGCAACCACTCCATCCCCAGAGAGATGAACCCCATCACTTGCATACATATCATGCTTACCATAGAATATGTCCCAGTTATCAATGAATGGGATTGCAAGTTGCTTGCAGTACCTGTCTAGCCAGCAATTTATGCCAATTGCCCTAGACATCCATTCATTGTCCACTTCCCTTCTAGGCAAGATGCTACAAATGATTGGGATCCCTCCCTTAGACCTGACAACTTCTCTGGCTGACCTGTACTCATCCAGCAGCTCCTCTCTCCTGCCCTTCCTGATGTCATTTCCACCAGCACTAAGACAGATAATGGTCTTGTTCCCATTACCTGCCATAATATTATCCAACCTGCTGACTATGTCACCAACACCAGCTCCTGGGAGGCACAACCTCTATCTGACCTTTCTGTCTCTGTTACATAAAGCACAGTCCATATATCTTACCTGAGAATCTCCTACAATTAGACTATTCTTACCTTGATTAGCAGGGGAGTCACTAACCACTGAAGTGCACTCGTCCTGGAGAACAGAGAATCGATTTCCTACCATAACATCTTCTCTATTAACCCTCCTTATCTTCCTTCCTGAACTGTGAACCACCTGCCACTAAAAGCGGCTGCAACTATTTAGCTTGCTGCTGGTATCCTTTTCCTCACCAGCTTCCACCATCTCACACTCACTCTCAAACCCATCTAGGCGAAGCTTCAGCCTCTTATTTTCCTCCTGAAGAAGTAAAACCTCCATCTTCAACACTTTAACCTGAGATTCCAAAACACTACAGCAGGTCATGGTGCTCAGTTAAGGGGCTAGAGTAAGAATAACATTAAAGGAATATTGATAACAGTCCACTGTGCAATGCAAATAAAGTTCTTCATAGAACTCCGACAGTGTTGGCAATCTGAAAAGCCTCATTACGGAGTATACAGAGGCCTCGTGCTTGTGAATAAACACTTAGGCAATCTAGTACCCTAAAAGAATTAGGCAAACTTGTTATTTAATTTAAATAAATATTCTCCAGCAGCAAGGATTCCTCCATAGCCTCGGTGTTGCGATTTTGATGTAATATTAGTTTCAATGTTTAATGCTAAATGAAGTTTTTGAAATTTAGAGTGACAAATATATCCTGGATTGTGTAAAGTAATCCTATGCTGATTCTAAGTAACAAATCTCACTCTCGCAAGACAGTGGAAGCACTTGTGATTGGGACAATCACGGGGGCCACAAAAACTAGAGAGATGGTACTCACAGGTCTGACAGTCATAGGGGCCCCAGCAACGAGGGGGTCCACATTCCGTGGAAGGAAGACATCTCAAGCTTCCTGTGCAGGGAGGACACTCGGAGTCAGGACGGTTCCGCTGTGAATACCAGAGTCAGAAAGTTATACTTCAAGAAACATTCTCCTTCAAATACTCACTTTAAGTTTTTACTGAACCTGGAATTTTGAGGTGTATAAATGCATTAAGTGAGCTATTAATTGTTCAGCTGTTTAAATACTCGGAGTCTCTTATCAGTGAGGAAGTCTAACATGGGTACCAAGACGGTAACCAGTCACTACAGAACATGGGTAACAAGACGGTAACCAGTCACTACAGAACATGGGCACCAAGACGGTAACCAGTCACTACAGAACATGGGTACCAAGACGGTAACCAGTCACTACAGAACATGGGTACCAAGACGGTAACCAGTCACTACAGAACATGGGTAACAAGACGGTAACCAGTCACTACAGAACATGGGCACCAAGACGGTAACCAGTCACTACAGAACATGGGTAACAAGACGGTAACCAGTCACTACAGAACATGGGCACCAAGACGGTAACCAGTCACTACAGAACATGGGTACCAAGACGGTAACCAGTCACTACAGCACAATGGGTACCAGACGGAACCATCACTACAGAACATGGGTAACAGACGGTAACCCAGTCACTACAGAAACATGGGCACCAAGACGTAACCAGTCACTACAGAACACATGGGTAACAAGACGGAACCAGTCACAACAGAACATGGGCACCAAACTGAACCAGTCCACTACCGAACTGGGTACCAAGACGTAACCAAGTCACTACAGAACAAGGTACCAAGAGCGTAACCAGTTCACAACAAGAACATGGGTACCAAGACGGTAACAGTCACTACAGAAACAATGGTACCAAGACGGTAACCAGTCACCACAGAACATGGGTACCAAGACGTAACCAACACAACAGGAACATAGGTGACCAAGTCACTTTAAACCTTCCACTACAAACATGTACCAAGAACTGTAACAGTCACTACAGAACATGGGTACCAAGACCAGTAACCAGTCACTAGAGAACATTGTACCAAGACAGTCACCGTCACTACAGAAACATGGGTAACAAGTAGAAGAACGGTAACCAGTCACTAGAGAACATTGGCAAACAAGACCGGTAAACCAGTCACTACAGAACATGGGTAACAAGACGGTAACCAGTCACTACAGAACATGGGCACCAGACGGTAACCAGTCACTACAGAACAGGGTACCAAACGGTAACCAGTCCACACAGAACCAATGGGTACCAAGAACGGTAAACCAGTCACTACAGACAAGGTGAGCACAAGAGACGGATAACCCAGTCACTACAGAACATGGCCCACCAAGACGTTAACCCAGTCACTCCAGAACATGGGTACCAAGAACGGTAACCAGTCACTACATAACATGGTACCAGAGACGGTAAACCAGTCAATACAGACATGGGTACCCAAGAGCGGTAGACCAGTCACTACAGAACAATGGTTACCAAGACATAACCAGTCATTAGAAACATTGTACCAAGACAGTCCACCAGTCACTAGAGAAAAAGGGTACCAAGACAGACACCAGTTATCGTAGGGATCTAAATGGAGAAATCGTGGTTGAAGTAGACAACACTTGTTGGATGATAACGATATATTGCAGACTGTATGATGGGAAATGGAATCCCAGCCTTCCTGCTTTTGTCCTAGGCCTGGATGTCTAACGCCGAATAAGACGGAGGCAGAGTTACGAACGTACACATGCGCATCCCGAGACGTCACACAAACCTCACAGCCTAGGATTCACCTATCTAAAGCACATGGATGATACTGATAGCAATTGGTCAACAACAGGATCAGCAATATGCTTTTGATCAGCTCGGTCATGTTGCGGTATGTCCGTCTCGACACACACTACCTATCCTATAGGCCTAACAGGCAGTGGTTCTGGGCTGATTCTATACAACACAAAATCATATATAACTAGAACTAATGGATGGTTATCATACTGGAGTTAACAAAATGAGTTTTACGTAAGGGTGTTAACGTAAATGAGTTTTTAACCGTAATGCATACAAACTATAAGAACAAATCATTGTTACAATATGGATTGAATTGATCGATTCGATCTGTATTCCATGCACACTCAATTCTGAGGAAGAATAAATATATATATACAAGGTGAAATTAACAGCAAAGACCATCGTGGTGCACTCAGATCAGTACAGTCAAATACTCAGAATACGAAGGGAACTTGAATACGAAAAAAAAAAAAAAAAAATTCTGAAAAACTAATCAGTTAATAACAAACATTTGACAATTTAACTTCATCGCGGACATCTAGTTAGTACAGACTATGTACAATTTTAAACCCAATACAAGTGAGGTTGAGGTTTTACATAAGCAGAAGGTTATCATTCTGGGAGGATCGAATCCTCTGCAATGGCTAACACATTCAATTGACTGAAGGAGATCTGAACGATGTATCTACAAAAGATACTTGTGGTTTCTCATTACTGTCGAGTACGCAAGGAGTAATCGACATTCAGGTTAGTATTCTAACTGAGTATCTGAGGTAGAGGTACAGAGTCAAGGGATTTCAACATCATTCACATTAGTCTGGGTAGCAATACCATCACCATCGCAACCTAATTTCAAATGAATCTAAAATGCGATTCTTTGTACTTACCAGTACTAATTTCCTCTAACTCTTATACTTATTACCAGAGATATGTTCTACAACTCGATCAGAGTCCGACAAACATTTGATCGAGCTTAGGCATTGTGGATGTTTTTGTTGAAATTGTCAGCATTACTCTCGAACCTACATGACTTTAATCTTAAGGCACGGCTATTAGTTTACTCTAGTAAAATTCCTGCTTGTTTGGATTTATGAAGTGTTTCACAGATTCTTCTAAAAGCAATTTGAGCATGCTGGTTACAGGTTGCTACGAAAATTCACAGGGTTGTAATAAGGTTTTCGCTGTCCTTACAGAACCAACAATGCATAATGTGAGTATCAACCTATGGAAGCATTGTAACAGAATTATGGCACATTTGACATCAGGTATGACTACATCCCAATTTCACTATGGGGTTGATAGTGCCTCTCAGGTACATCACGTACTTTCTTATTGGTTTCTTTTGGCTACACCCATTGCTGGCAGGGATGATGAGGAACAAGGTGGAATTTTAGAGATCTTGTATAATTACAACAAATTTTCAAGAATCTCATTACAGATTCACCTCCATTAACTTTACAAAGGACTTAGGGGTGGTTGCCCTCAGATAATCGTTTCTTTAAACGCTTTAGCTACTGTCTCTGCAGTCCTTATCTGCAATAGAACTAACCACAATATCTGGTGAATGGCTACCATAACACACAGATGTTAGTTTGCCTTTGGGGGAACATTTAAAATTGGTTAACAAGTCAAGGCATACTATTTCCCATGGTCGCTAGAGGTTGGGTTACACTTGTAATGGATTAGGACCATTGACATTCCCTTTAATGTTGCATACAGACACTACATTTCTTAACATACTCCGAATGTCGAGTTGCCACTATACTTGCCAAAAGTATTTCATTCTGGCTTGGTTGTCACAAACGATCCATACCATGTGTGCAACACCTGGTGCATCAATGAAGTTCGAGCTTAGCTGGGTCCTGATGTTCACTAGAGACTGTGGTATTACTAACTGTAACACTCTTTCTGCTTGGATACCTAACTCGGCTGTTCGAAACCGTAATTATCTTGGCTCATTACAAAGACACTAATGGGATGCTGGTTGGCTTCACAGTAAGAATAAGATCTTCCTGTATCAGGAATCGGAATCACCATAACACAAGGGATCGGTTCTTTCTACGGAGGAATGCACAAACTCGGTGGAGTGGATTACTCTCCCCTTTCAAAAAAAATTAAACGCTATAACACGCAATATGAATCAAGGGAGTACGAAACTACAATCACACACGGCAAGCACAGGAGAAAATAAATGAACACAGTCCACACAATGGCTGATACTTCAATCTGAGTCGCACACCGTACACGAGGTATCGAGCAATAAAGAAACTTCCACTTACAAACGATAACAACATTGAAAGTTTACTCGAGAAATAACTTCATACAAAGCACTGATTACTGTCCAACTAGGAAGGTATCCACCATCAGGAAACGATTAGAACAACAACAATACTATTGAGAACACTAGCTGTAACAGAGACGACCATCTGCATACGCATGTGACCTCAACCAAGAGATGGCATTACAAGTTGCAAGTAATCTTTTCTGACAAGGCATCCGCTTGTATGGGAAACTACTACTCGAACTAGTAGACATTGCAGGGATAGGCAGTTGCCTCAAGGCAGTCTGAGTGACCTCGAGAACTTGAGGCAACGAAACACATCCTGCAAGTCTTGAAGTGTAGATTGAACACAGATGGGAGTGACAGAGTTACTTTGCCAGACCGCTCGGAAAACTTAATAAGTAAGTAATGAACGAATCTAGGAACTTAATCTGAACTTCAACATTTTGCAGCACTTTAACAAAATACCTCAGATACAAGTTGTTAGAACAAACACATGCTCTAGGGCTAGTATTCTTTTCAATCATAAGGAATATTGGTACTGTGGAACTGATTCATATTGACTTTGACTGGCATGATACACTAAGTGAAACATTCAAAAGTGACTGGACATCTTCTCAAGTGAACTTACTGAGGACATAAAGCAAGAAAAATGGAGAAATGACACATAAGCTTAAACGGGAAGAAATGCTTAACTATTCCTGTATAAGTAACTAAAATTGACTGTCAACACAGTAAGCAAAGATCTCACTCACAGAGAAAAATGCTTATCTAGGGACAAACAACACTTTGAAAATCAAGAGAACCTTGAGTACTTTAACTCAAATCTAATTTTCTAAACTTGTACTTTAAATTGAATAAATGCACAGTGAGTTTGTCTTTAAAACCTTTCAAATGCAATAGGGAAACACACAATAAAATGATAAAATGGAAATCAATAAAGCTTGTGTCAAAAAAAACAAACTGGACACAAATCACTGGAAAAAATAAAAAGGCAC